GTTAGTGGATGAACACTAGGCCATCATTAAAGGAAAATTCGGGCCGGGTGTCACAGCATGGAGCGAGAAGCGGACGTGGGAGCTTATAGCGCAAATGATTAACGGTTCATTCCCCTGCTTGTGCGCACCAGGGAAGCCTGCTATTTATGAGGGAACTGCAGTTTTTTTGAGCCTGCAAGGTGGGAATGTCCAGTGGAAACTAAATGAACTGCGACACAATAAGAGGTTCTGAAAGTGCTGTAAGTGTTTGTGTGATCACTGCTCACAGAAGGTTGTGACAGACCCAAATCACTGCTGCTTTATTGCATTTTCCCATTTGCCAAATATCTTAATGTAGTGATTACTTTCATTTCTGGCGTTATGGCATTCCTGCGCTGTGTCGGAGATATTAGCGTGTCTCTAATAAGATCAGTCACAAACATGATCCCTGCACGATCTCATCTATAGCGTCTTATTAACTAACTGTCATCTATTGCCTGGATCACATTTCTTCTCCCTCCTCATCGTTCTGTCATTTTCTCCTCTGCTAAAGAAACTCTTAAGCCTCTTAAAAGTCCTCATCCGTACTCCTAACAATTTTGACCTTAAGACCTCTTTTAAGGGTTAAGATGCTTTCTGAATTACTTTTTTCTTTACTAGGATTTTGTCTTTAATTTTAAGAGTAAACGCCCACATTTCTAAGAATTTTCTTAGAATTTTGTCACTAGGAGCTACTCTTTGCATTAAGATTCTTTATGAATACGGGCCCAGGTTCAGAAAGTAAAAGTCCTCCTCAGTATTTTGTTCTAATCACCTGGATTTGCTAATTAGCACAGTTTTTCAGCCAGGAGATTAGTAATTAGAACTAATTAATGAAATCAGCTGGCTGAGTTCATGGGTGGAATAAACATATGGCAGGACTTTTACTTTCTGATCCCTGGACTTTACACCTCTGTATTTAAGTACTATTTCAGTCATTTATTTTTGTTGAATCCTCTGTTGACCTGTTATGATTAAATGTACAATACAACAAACTGTATTTAAGTTCCACCTGTTGAAAATAGTATAGCCTAGCCCTAGATAAAAGTTTACAGGATATGTGTTTAGAGTTGCAAAAAACATAATAATCATGAAGTAAGTTTTTATTATTATGACATTAAACCTTTTCAATAATTTACCCAAAATTTGAATATCAAGTAGCCTATAGGCTATTGTTGAATTAAATTCAAATTATTTCTATATCACTTTTCAAAATTCTGCATGGTTGCAAAGCAGCTTTACATACATATAAAAAGTAGTTACAAAAGTAAATATATGTAATTATGACAAATAAAGAAAACAACATATAGTCAGTTTGAAATGGGGAAATTCACGTACCTGATAAGTTTTATTACTTTAGTGTATTACTAATACACTCCAATGTACCTACTGTAATACACTTTTCCCATTAATGGTACTTTAATGGCTTGCACTTTGAAATGTGGACCACTACGGAGCCCCTAATGGGACGTGGTGGTGGAAAAAAATTTAGGATGGGAGAATTTTTTTTTTTCAAATCTTTTGCGTTCCCTCGCAAAACTTTTGCGTTCCCCCGAGAAACTTTGCGTTCCCTCGCAAAACTTTAGCGTTCCCTCGCAAAACTTTTGCGTTCCCTCGCAAAGATATTTGCGTTCCCTCGCAAAGTTATTTGCGTTCCCACGCAAAAGTTTTGCGTTCCCTCGCAAAGATATTTGCGTTCCCACGCAAAACCTGTTGGCAGCTCGGACAGACACTTCCTGTATAATGTATAATGCAGTGTTTCAGAACTCCGTACGTTAATGGAGCGTTTCATAGTGTTTGAACTTGGACTCAAATATAAAGAAATGCGGTCAGTGCTTAACTCAAGGTGTTCAGTGAAGTTGGCAATACAGCCTATAGGCTACACATAGGCTATTCGAACTTCCCGGATCAATATTCTTGAGCTAATTGTTGTTAAAACACAGACGACACCTATTTACAATCACAGTAAACCTAGACAACGAGCTACAACCCAATTCTCCTCAAAGCGAGCTTTATAATATAAATTTGTCTTTAACCGGCCGATTGAGAGACAATCCGAATAAGGGACCGTCTGCAAAGTGCAAATCCCAAAACCCTTATGCACATTTTATATTATTTAACACATAGCTGTCAACATTGAACATTGAATATAAGGGAGATTTCCCGGAATCCATCCCCAAAATAAGGGATTTTTTTTACACTATTCTTACCCACAAACTTTAAAAATAAAGCACTAATCATTAAAAGTCTAAAGAGTTTATAACTACATATGAGTGAGAGAGAGATAAAGAGACAGTGTGTGTGTGTGTATGAGAGAAAGAGACAGTGTGTCATTTTTTTAACATTTTTTATCAGAGAATGTTTAAATACTAATATCAGCTTACGAGGGAAACGGTGGTGCTTCGGAGGCTGCTGGAGATGATTAGGGAGAGGTCTGTGCTCCTTTACCGATCAAAGCGTGCGCTGACACGGAGTAAAGCCTTGTTTATACTCGACGCGTCCGCACGAGCGCGGCAAAAATGACGCGTTGGGTGCGCAAGACCGGCAAGACCCCATTTCGCTTGGCTGTGTGCACAGCTTTTTTTGTAACAGCGTGCGCGGCGCCGCATCCGAGGAGGAACGACTTCAAGTCGAATCTGCCCGAGCTTGTACGTCTCATACAATCAGAGCGTAAAAATACGGGATATTTTACGGGAAAATTCTAAAACGGGAAGACAGCGGGAAAAGAGCTAAAATACGTGAGAAACCCGGAAAAAACGGGAGGGTTGACAGCTATGATTTAACATATTCAATAGCTTCACTGTGATACACTGTAGGCTACTGTCACCAAATTCAGTTCCAATAACTTTACCCTTTTTAGAAAAAATATTCAGTAACTTCACACTGTTATACAGTGTAATGCCATCAAATTCAGTAAGCAAATATAATGCAAAAGCTATGGTTGTAACTATTATGTTAGCTGCGTACAGTACCAATATAATTTGTGTAAAGAATAGGCCTACTTATTTTTTTATGTGCAATTACTTCCCAAACTAAGTGTTGTATAACCAACATTAGAGCAGTGATGTGTGAACAAAATTTGGTGTGTTACAGTGAAGTTATTAATAATTTTTTTTTAATAATATAAAATGTGCAGAAGCAGTGCAATATGACCAGTGGGTTGACCATTGATGTGTAAACTGAATTGGGTGGTTTGTAACATTGAAGTTAATGACTATTTTTGTATTTTTGACTATGAGTTGATGCTGTAGTCGTTTTTTTGGGTTATATTGCACTTTGCAGATGGTCCCTTCGGACTTGTCTCTCAGCCGCCTGCTCAGAGAGATCCATTTAGCCTATATAATAAAGCTCGTTTTGAGGAGAATTGGGTTGTAGCTCGTTGTCTAGGTTACTGTGATTGTAAATAAGTGTCGTTTGTGTTTTAACAACGTTTAGCTCAAGAATATTGATCCGGGAAGCTCGAATAGCACGCTCCATTAACGTACGGAGCTCTGAAACACTGCCAGCGGGACATTAAACAGGAAGTGTCTGTCCGAGCTGCCAACAGGTTTTGCGTGGGAACGCAAAACTTTTGCGTGGAAACGCAAAACTTTTGCATGGAAACGCAAAACTTTTGCGTGGAAACGCAAATAACTTTGCGAGGGAACGCAAACATTTTGCGTGGGAACGCAAATATCTTTGCGAGGGAACGCAAAGTTTCTCAGGGGAACGCAAAAGTTTTGCGAGGGAACGCAAAAGATAAAAAAAAAAAAAAATCTCCCATCCTAAATTTTTTTCCACCACCACGTCCCTTTAGGGGCTCCGTAGTACGTGTCTGTCCGAGCTGCCAACAGGTTTTGCGTGGGAACGCAAATATCTTTGCGAGGGAACCCAAAACTTTTGCGTGGGAACGCAAACATTTTGCGAGGGAACGCAAAAGTTTTGCGAGGGAACGCAAAAGTTTTGCGAGGGAACGCAAAAGTTTTGCGAGGGAACGCAAAAGTTTTGCGAGGGAACGCAAAGTTACTCGGGGGAACGCAAAAGTTTTGCGAGGGAACGCAAAAGATTTGAAAAAAATTAAAATTCTCCCATCCTAAATTTTTTTCCACCACCACATCCCATTAGGGGCTCCGTATAAATCCGCTGCGTAATGCGAGACCGTCAAACAGCTTAATCATTTTACTGCGTTTTACATCAGGAGCAGTTCTGCTGAACATTGCTGTTTGAAGCGCGCAGAGACAATCGGCAGATGGTTGGTTTTATTCCAACCGTAAGCACTGAAACACAAGCAGTTCTGCACGTTCACATTCTTCCACCAACGAACTTTAATGCAGCTTTAATGAAATATCATGTCATGTAAAAGGAAGCAAAACATTCTGCTGATGATATTTAATGTTGTGTCTGCTGGCTTTATTTCTTCAACAGCTTCAAGTTGAATGCGCTTTCGTGTTCTATACAGTTTCGCGTTTATTTTCGCGCACCACTTATTGCACCTATATTGAGACTTTCCTCTAATGTTCTCTGGATATGCGAGTTACTGGTATACTGGGTGTATCTGTATAGAAGGCACATTCTTAAGCTGTGCCATTATTTATAAAGATTACTTTATTGTATTTGAAGCACAAAATAATGATGCCATTAGCAAACTTAAAGTTTACTTGGCAATGTGTTTTAAAAGCACTAAAAGTTTGTTGTCTTTTCAGTATAATATTAATGTATGTTCAACACTCTTGCAGTGTAATTGAAAAGTATATTAAATACAACTTTAGTTGAATAAATGCATTTGTACAAATGTAAATGTAAAATGCATTTAGTACAAAATTAGTTGTTCCAATTTAACAGACTTTAAGTTTACCAATTTATAGTGGGCCACAAATACATTTAGTTATACTAAAGCACAAATTGTTTTCATTAGGGTAGACACACCAGAAAAACAAAATGACTATTGCATTTAATGTGTTTGTCAGTGATATGCCCATTTCCTGCTCCTCCCAAGCAAGTTTCCTCTCTTATTGTTGATATAGACTGCTCTAAAAAAAGTGCTTTAGAACTGCAAACTACTTCTCAGATCCATTGTGTTAGTATTAGCATTCCAGGATGTGCACTCCAGGCTAATATTTTCCATGCTTACGGCTGTTTGATTTCCTAGAGACTGGGATTTTCCTGAAGAATGAAATGGAAAACTTTTATGGGCAAGCATCCTGAATGCCGAACTTATGTGAAAGTACTCTTAAGTTAAAGGGATTTTCTGTCAATAACAAAAATTTGCAACAAAGACTTAGAACTGATTTCAAACCATGGATGTTTTAAACTCAGAGGACAGCAGCAATTATGAGGACTATTATAATGCAGAAGGACATGAAGAATATGGACTCTGCAAGAAGACACATCTAAAGGAATTCAGCAATCTGTTTCTACCTATATTCTACTCCATTACCTGTGCGCTGAGCATTATTGCTAATTTAACCCTCCTAATAGTGTTCATCAAATACAAAACTCTGAGGAAGGTGTTGCCTCTACACATGGTCATATCGGATTTTATTTTTACACTGAGCCTTCCGTTTTGGGCAGTGTATGCCAGCAGTGAATGGATCTTTGGTGATCAAAGCTGTAAGGCAATCACTTTGGTTTACATGGTCAGTTTGTATAGCAGCAATCTCTTTGTTGCAAGTCAGAGCTTGCAAAGATTTATGGACATTTTATGTGTTGTTTCTACCATCAGGATCTTCAACAGTCCAAAGAGGAATACTATTATGTGCATTTTGGTGTGGCTTTTATCAGTTTTGGCTGCTGCTGTTCATGTCAGCTTTGTTGAGACTCAAAAGGTCCATGAACTGAACATTTGCACTTTCAATTTCCACAATAAAGTTGGTTGGAAAATCTATGTAAGATTTCAGATGAACATACTTGGGTTTGTCATACCATTTTTAGTGCTCCTATTTTGTTCAATCAGACTATGTGTTTCTGTGGTAAGGAACACATTCCAGATGTTATATGAAATTGGATTCACTGTCATGTTTTTTCTCCTCTGGTTCCCCTACAGTGTTGTAATTTTCTTGCATGCTTTGCAAGACCTTCACATTTTTTATACATGTTCCACTAACATACACTTGGACTTTGCTATTCAGGTTACAGAATGTATTGCTTTCATGCATGTTTTCTTAAATCCTCTTTTATATATATTTTTAAACAAAAAAGTCTGGAAACGATTGAGAAATGCTTCCAAAACTCCAAGGGAGTATCTGCTTGAGGAATGCAACAGTTCATCAAACATGTCCAGTCAGGATGGTGCTATTGAGCTAAGGTCAGTTCAGCAATATCAAGCCCATGACCTGAGCTTTTGTGCTGAACGACCTAATAACTTACTACCAGAGCCAATGTAAAAGCTTGTGAAAAAAAATATTATGTTTACTGTGTGTATCTCAGTTTAATAATTATACCAACACAGATTCCACTCCTACTCACTATATGGTTTATTTCTGCATATAACTTTATATAAATACATATTTTTTGCAGTTTATATGTTTATATTAGCTTGTTTAATATAATTTCTTTAATGACAAAATTTGTTGTTGGAATAATTGAGCTTTGTTTAATTATGCTTCTAGTAGAGTAATTTTTAATCCAAAACGTGAAAGGTCAAGGCTATCTCAGTTTAATCTCAGTTTAATAATTTAATAATTTTAAATTCTATCTTTTTTTTCTCAAGAAATTACAAAATGGAAGGTCAAAAAAAGCACTATCAGCATTTTGTTGTCAAGCTAAAATGCTTATGTAATTAACAAGTTTTTCTGCAAAACACAAATATTGACAATGTAAAATACAATGTTTTCAACAGATTTTGAGATATGCTGAATCAGTTCAACAAGTGGCCTTTCCCCAACATTCTTATCATAAAGATAACGGTAGCCTTAACCTTTCACGTTTTGGATTAAACATTACTCTACTAGAAGCATAATTAAACAAAGCTCAATTATTCTTTTGTTTTCTTTTATCTTCAAGAACTTCAGTTTAAGTTTGGATTGTTGGATAGTTATATTATGCAACACACTGGTATTTTGTTATATATTTTACAGATTTGTACAGTCTTCACCAGGATTTTTTTTGTTTATAAATATTTTTTTTTGACTTACAAATAAAACACCATTTTAAATTCTATCTTTTTTTTCTCAAGAAATTACAAAATGGAAGGTCAAATTCATTCCTTGTTTGTGGTTTAAAAGTCATGTCTCTCATAGCAAAAAATAATAAAAAAATAAAAATAACTGTATCTATAGTTCAAGGCCTATTTAAATTGTCGCTCTCAAACTTATGGAGGCAATCACTAGGGCCTTTATCAAGTTGAATGGCTAAGTCAGAAAGAGTATTTCTAGCCTAGATGTACAGTATCCGAATAGTGTATTTTTGAGTAGGTCAAATTTTTATAATTGTAAATTCCTTTTAGCAAATGTTTAGGTTTAAAAAAATTACAGAGGTCTAAACAAGATGTGTTACTTACAACACCCTTGTCACACACCCCTTTGTGGTTTGTTTATTGCGGTTTTAGTGGAGTGAGCAATTGCCCCTAAAGGGCTAAAATGCAATGTTGTCAAATTGGACAGATGGTGAAAACGGTGCAGAGTTTCTTTCCACAAGCAATGGCTGATTCAGCAGAAATAAAACCAAACTCAAAATAATGTGTGTGTGTGTTAAGATTAAACCCTGTGAGGTGGGGGAAAAACACTATCAGCATTTTGTTGTCAAGCTAAAATGCTTATGCAATTAACAAGTTTTTCTGCAAAACACTAATATTGACAATGTAAAATACAATGTTTTCAACAGATTTTGAGATATGCTGAATCAGTTCAACAAGTGGCCTTTCCCCAACATTCTTATCATAAAGATAACGGTAGCCTTGACCTTTCACGTTTTGGATTAAAAATTACTCTACTAGAAGCATAATTAAACAAAGCTCAATTATTCTTTTGTTTTCTTTTATCTTCAAGAACTTCAGTTTAAGTTTGGATTGTTGGATAAGTTATATTATGCAACACACTGGTATTTTGTTATATATTTTACAGATTTGTACAGTCTTCACCAGGATTTTTTTTTGTTTATAAATAATTTTTTTTTGACTTACAAATAAAACACCATTTTAAATTCTATCTTTTTTTTCTCAAGAAATTACAAAATGGAAGGTCAAATTCATTCCTTGTTTGTGGTTTAAAAGTCATGTCTCTCATAGCAAAAAAAACAAACAAAAAAATAACTGTATCTATAGTTCAAGGCCTATTTTAATTGTCGCTCTCAAATTTATGGAGGCAATCACTAGGGCCTTTATCAAGTTGAATGGCTAAGTCAGAAAGAGTATTTCTAGCCTAGATGTACAGTATCCGAATAGTGTATTTTTGAGTAGGTCAAATTTTTATAATTGTAAATTCCTTTTAGCAAATGTTTAGGTTTAAAAAAATTACAGAGGTCTAAACAAGATGTGTTACTTACAACACCCTCGTCACACACCCCTTTGTGGTTTGTTTATTGCGGTTTTAGGGGAGTGAGCAATTGCCCCTAAAGGGCTAAAATGCAATGTTGTCAAATTGGACAGATGGTGAAAACGGTGCAGTTTATAGATCATTTCAGATGATTGACACCCCAGAGTGTACCAGAATTTCGGTACTGATGTGTGAATAGTATCTTACCAGTAAAAAGACAGAATACCATTGCTTGTGTGAACAGCACATTTGTGTATTTACAGGAAAAGTCAAAATCTGGTGATTTTACAGTAATTTACCAGGTTTAATGTGTAAAAGGAGATACAATATTTTAAATGAACTCTCCCATAAATTATTACACTGTTTTATTTGCATTACATTTACATTTAGTCATTTAACAGGTTTTTTTCCAGAGCAATTTACAAAAAAGGAACATCACTTCGTACTCTTAAAACTGCCATTTTAGTGTTTTAAGTATGGTTGGCTCTTGATAAATTGCTCGTTGTCCTTGTTGTGTTCCTCAAATACGATTTGGATAAAAGCTTCTGTTAAATTACTAAATGTATTCACAAACAATGCACACAAACATGATGCAAACAAACAAACAAATAAATAAATAAAAATTAAAATTTTTAAGTTAGGTCATTCTGGGGTGTGTTTCCCGAAAGCATCGTTAGCCAACTATGGTTGCAAGTTCCGTCGTTATCAGCATAGTTCAACGAGTCGGTGTTTCCCGAAACCATCGTTCCAACGAACATTCGCAAACAGCATCGCAAAGTTGTGTGGTTGGAACAACAGCTCTCGAGCTGTTGTTAGAAGCATAGTTTCTAAATTGCATGACATGTGGACTTAATAAATCCGTATCTTGAGCAAAATAAGCAAGCTGACATTCAGTACAACCTGTGTCTTTTATTTAGAATACTTACAAATGTGTTTGACATCTTTGAGTTTGTCAAGATACCGTTTTGAAGACTGCGCATGTGCGAACGTGCTCTACTGTGTAAGAACGAGCCTATGATTAAATCTGGAAATAAAGCGAAATAACTGAGAAAAATAAGAAATATTACTCAGATGCCATGTCTGTAATTTATAACATCTAGCATTAATTCGATCTCATACAGTTTAATTAAAATAAGTTATTACTCCACCACGTGCGTGACGTCATAAACCAATGTGGTTGAACACCACTTTGCGACATATGGTTTCGGGAAACAGTCATGACTAGCTAATTGATTTCTTCAACGATGCATCGTACTATGGTAGTTAAGCAGCGAGTTATGTCGTTGTACGGGAAACGCACCCCAGAATAGTTGACATCACTGACGTTCAGGAAGATCTAAAATTACATGCTAATATTTTATCTTCAATGTTTAACTAAATAAAACGTCTCGGGTTATGACTATAACCCTTGTTCCCTGAGAAGGGAACGAGACACTGCGTCGTTGAAAAACGACTCTTTGGGGACGCTCCCTTAGCGTGTGCCTCTGAAGTATGAATGAAACTAATCCAATCCTGATTGGTGTTGCGTCATGACGTAACATGTGACGGCACATAAAAGTTACGCCGGCACAAACACACATTAGCCTAGCGATGAAGCAAGCCGCTCTCAGGCATTGAGGGGCGTGGCAGGACGACGCAGTGTCTCGTTCCCTTCTCAGGGAACAAGGGTTATAGTCATAACCCGAGACGTTCCCTTTCGAGGGAACTCGCACTGCGTCGTTGAAAAACGACTCTTTGGGGAACGAATGCCCACTAGGCCACGCACCGAAAAAGGCCTGCCCTAGAGTGAAACTGATCTCAGGCACTCAGCTAGGACGAGAGCACATGTGCGCCAGGCGTACTAGGGAGGTGCAGACTATAAAACCTGATAAAAGTGTGCGGGGTAGCCCAACCGGCTGCCTCACAGATCTCCTGGAGGGGGACTCCCGAGAGGAGGGCACTAGAGGACGCCATGCCTCTAGTAGAAAGATCCCTTACGGCCAAAGGTGAAGGCAAATTGCGCACCTTGTAAGCCTACTTATGGTTTGTATAGCCGGGAGCCCCTAATAGGTGACCCAAAACACACTACAGTATGTCCGACCTCCTCCAAGAAGAGGACCTCTCAAGGTAAATACTCGGAACTCTAACTGGCAGAGCAAGGAACCTCTCCTTTTCTGCCGACACATGAGGTGGAGGATGAAATACTTGCAGGACCATGGACCTAGCGATGTTAAATTGCTCTTAAGGCACATAGCTGGGTCTCGGATGCAGGATGGCCTTAACTCCGCAGGGGCCACACCCCAAGCAAGCTGGCGATAATGCCAGGGCTTGGAGATCTCCCAGTCTCTTTAAAGAAATAGCTAAGAGAAAGGGTATCTTGAACATGAGGTCCTAGGCGAAGCCGACTGGAGGTATTCGAAGGGAGCCAGGGATAGCCCTTCGAGAACCACCGCCAGGTCCCAGGAAAGAACCCTGGACCTGACTGTCAGTCTCACCCGCCAAATACCATGGAGAAATAGTATGACCAGTTGGTGCCTCCCCAAAGGCCCAACATTTAGTGGTGCATGGAACGCCGCAATGGCGGCCACGTACACCTACGTGTAGATGGGGAGAGATTAGCAGAGAAACGATCTTGAAGAAACTCCAGAACTGAAGCCATTGGGCAGTTAACTGGGCCTAACTCAAGTTCTCTACACCAAGTGGAAAAACATTCCACTTGAGGCCATATAACTCCTAGTAGACGGAGCCCTAGAGATAAGTATGGTTTCGACCACCCCAGATGATAGACCAGCATCTAGGTACTGAGCCCCCTCAGAGGCCAGACCCACAATTTCCACAGCTCCGGACGAGGATGGAATATAGTGCCCTCCGCCTGAGACAACAGATCCCTCCTCAGAGGGATCTGGCATGGCGGAGCTATCAGGAGTGAAATTAAGTCCGAAAACCATACTCGGGCCGGCCAAAACGGGGCTACCAGAAGAAGACTAATGCCCTCCTGACGGGTCCTCTCCAGGACTCCCGGGAGCAGAGCGATCGGGGAAAACGCGTACAGGCAAAGCCTTGGCCAGGCCTGTACCACGGCATCCAACCCCAGCGGGGCTGGATGAGTGAGGGAGAACCAAAGTGGAC